AGTTGAGACGTCTAATCTCTAGGTTTATCAGACCATTTAGCTTACGAACTTCATTAGAGTTCTCCTTGTACATTCTTTCTTTCATTCTCCGTAGTCGTTTTAGTTGTGTAGATGTAAGTCTATCAAAACTTACAAAAATGGTTTCAGTAGGACAACAAATATCAGAACAGAATTTAAGGTAACAAGTGATAACATCAGTAGTGTTTTCTAGTGAGTCATCTGTAAATAATTCCCAGTTAGTCGTATGAAACATGTTTTTCAGATTTCGGATATTTTCTTCTGTGTAATTCCTATATTTGACTTTCTTGGTTTGATGTAAGAGTGTACTCTTCCCGTACTTTCCATATACTTTATGTAGAACACGAATTATACAGTGATCCGAGCTAGACAATGGAGCACGTTTACGAGTCGCATTTATACCCACATCATTAATGAAGACAAAGTCTAGATGAGCATCCAAACGGGTAGGAAAATCCACTACATTTTTGTGACCTAGTGACGTAAGGAAGCTACAGTCACATGAATTGAAATCACCACATACAACTGAAAGTGAATCACTGAAGGCAGTACAGCGAACTCAGTGAATTCATCAGCAAAAACAGATAGTGCAGATGATGTGCAATCTGGAGTCACGTAGATATTGGTAACATAAACATATTTGTATTTATTTAGATGTTTTGGACGACGTCTTAGAGTTAGACAGTCGATGAAGTCATTTGAAAACTTAAAACACACCAACGAAGATCGACACCAGTTTATGTTTACAAACGTAGCTACACCGCCACCACACCTCTTTTTATTGTTCGATCGATCCTGACGATAAATTTTAAAATCACGTAGTAATACAAGGCAGTCATCCTGTAAATCATTCAACCAAGATTCTTGAATTGTGATGACACCACAATTACGATACGTATTTTGACTAAGTAGGAATTGCAGATAGTCCACTTTGTTGATTAATGATCGGCAGTTAGAATTTAGCAGCTCGGGAATTGGCATACGATTAATGTTCATTCTCTTTAACGCATATTGCCAACCACCACGATGCCTTTTATAAGACTTTTTCGTAACTTGTGCAGCGAAAGATCGTAGGCTTTTCATAAAAGCGCCTGAATAGCTTATGCGATTAATGGACATAATTATAAGTTTAAACAAACAAAAAACCCAGATAACTTGTTGAAATAATCAGATGGCAGAAACAGGTAACCCAGATATTCAAGCAGGCCGCCCAGTTAAATGTTAACAGTTCAGGAATCGTTATCTGAAGAATGTATATTCTTTTCGATGCATATTGCCAGCAACCACGATGTCTCTGATTAAGCTCTTTTGTATATATATATATATATATATATATATATATCGGTTACAATCACCGGATATGTGACTTATGGTTTGTAAAGTAAAGAATGAATTTAAAATTAAAGTTCCCGATGTAAAATATATTAGTCATTCAACCGTTTTATCTAAGCCAAGAAGAGAGTTTCTGTATTGAGTTCTAGTAGATAACAGTTTCTTTAAAATATTAGTGAATAAAATTATCCACCAGTTAAAGTTGAATATGATAAATAATGAGCAGTTGAGTACTTGGATTTATTTATTCTTTTTAGGTAGAACATTTCACACCTAAAAGTGTCTACTAATAACTAAGTTCTACACTTATCTGTGTCCATTCACATAATCTGTGGAAATGTAAATGGATAAATGCTTAGAAAGCTGATGACCTGGAAAAACTTTTCAAGCTCTATATTCTCTTAGTATATATTTTATCATGGTTAAGTTGTTTTAACAATATGGATGTCTTTTTTTTCTAGTTAAATGTGTTCATCAGAATACTGAAAGTGTTTTGTAGTATGCGATTATCTGATTTCGTAAGATTTCACTTTTTATTGCTGACTGGAACTAATTTTATACAGTTTGAAAAGTTACTGCTTTCTAGTTAATAATTACTACACAAATGAATCTCTATTAATACCACGTCACTCTACTGTCAAGTTCATTAAACGTTCTTTTCAGTGTTTTCTTAGTAATCTTGTCTGACTTTAACTTGATAAACAAATTTCTTACAAACAAATATGAGAATATTTAAATGACTTTCATTACTTTAAATTCTTAGCATGGAGTTATTGGATTTTAACTATTGTTGCCAAAGAAAAACATCTGAAGTACAAAATAAGTCAAAATCAAAAAAATAATCACATAAATAGCCCAAAACATATCTCTCCTTACCAACCATTAATAAGCCTAGACACGGTATGTCAGTAAGAAGCTATTGTATTCTGAAATTACTTTCAGAAATACGTTATATAATGTATTAGGATTTACTGTGACTAACATATCATGTTTTGAAGTTAATCGAGTATGAATTCGATTAGTGGAAAATAGCACAATCACTTAAGTGATTACATTACTTCATACATCATAATTAAACGGCTCAATAACTAATCTAATAAAAAACTAACAAAAACCACGTTTTGCAACTTTTGTTAGTAACTAAGCAGAAGAAACAAATAGCTTAATAAGAGAAGATTAGGAAATTAAGCATATTTTGTGTTTTGAACATTTCACTCAATTAACATTAGAGAACACTGAACAGTAGTTCAGTTTTATTCTGATTAATTTATCGGACCAAAGACTTTCGTATATGAAGTTTAGTGAACTTAGCAGTAAAGTGAATCACAGTTACATAACAAGTAAGATGCGAATTAGTGTAAACAAGAGTACTATTCATCATATAATAACCAAACTATCTTTCTTTACATAATATTTAAGCGAATGTACATTCTTGATTCGATCGGGATTTCGATCCAGCATAATAACCAATTTAAAAAAAAGAATACCTCTGGGAGTATAAGCTGTTCTTGCCTATATCTTTTTTCATCATTTCCCGAAAGTTCCCTCGGTGAAAGATTAGAATTACAACACTTAGGTCGAAACTTCATTATGTATCATGAATACTGAACGTGATGGTCCAAGATACTGAAACCTTATAAGTGAATGGCTGGTGATAAACTAACAGGCAGCTTTTGAAGGAATTCATTTATGTGGTCATGTTTGTTCCATCTAGTGTATTGAAGTTCCAAAAAATCTCAAAATGTCTGTTTCAGAAAATCAAAATATAATTCGGTCCCTTTGTCTAAACACACTATTCCGCCATATTCGCTTTAAAGATATTTACTTTATATTTATATTTTCTATCAGTGTAGGTTACTGGGTCTTGCAGTATCGTATTTCGGTAAAGTAATTCTTTGTAAATATAAGATACTTATTTTTTATTTCTATTTTTTATTTTTATTTCCCCACCAAATGATATCGAGTGTTCAAGAGAAAAAGTATACTTAGTTATTGTCAATCTTTTTTAGCGTTTATATCAACTTTCTTTTTTAGTTTATACTAATTAATGGACAGAAAAAGCGAATGCCATAAGAGATTTGCCAATTACCAACTTGTCATATGTGTCGAATGTTTACGGTCATACAGATGAAGAGTTTATATCTATATATAGTTTCAGCTATTGATATTCAACGGAAGTCATGATTTCCTCATTAACAGATTTGTTAGGGACGATAGATCCCCAAAACTCAAATTTTGTAATTTCATCTTATCGATTAACTTATAGATTAAATGTTTAAATATTTGAACGGCGGTCAATTGATGAACTTATCGATTAAATATTTGAATGGCTGTCGATTGATGAACTTATCGATTAAATATTTGAATGGCTGTCGATTGATGAACTTATTCATTAATGTTTAAAAATTTTTACCATGACAATATCAATTATAAATATTTGTATAAATACGTTTGACTTGTGTGCCTGATTGACCTGACCTGGTATCTGCTGGTTGCCTGTGGAATACACTTTCTACTCCTTACCAAGACTTCTTGATCGCGTTAGCTGAGTCTGAGACAACGGACCAGAATAGTCTATCGAGATTCTGAATCCCTTGATCCGATCGATAAGTCACTGCCCTCCAATCGGCGGCCCTTTGAGTTATAACAAGATTACATAATTGAATGTATTAGTCGCCTATAATTCAGTTTATGAAATCAGTCTATTTACTTCAGTTAATGATTACTAATAAAATATTGTACGAAGTAAAAACCGGAACTAATTCAAATTTAGTCTTATTACATTACTTTTTCATAAACATTTTATAAAAATAGCTTGATACAAAGGTGTCTACTGTTTTTTTTTCTATCAAAGAGGTACATGAACAAGAATAGAATGTCAGATGGAGAGGATATACAAAATACCAAAGTGGTTTTAATTAAGATACTGATATGGACTATTGTTCTAAAAGTTTGACGTTCACTTATCCAATCCTCAATGATAAAAAACCTTCCCTTTATCACTTTGAAATTTCCACTTTATAATAAAGCAGTAATACTGAACCTATCTGTACAGTCAGTTAGAATAAAATCAAATCACCACACAGCATATTTCTCAAGATGATTTCTATGGTTTCAATGTACGGTACCAAAGGTTCCTAGGAATTTTTTCATCTTATCTTTCTTCTAGCCTGTTTCACGTACAATTCTAAATGATTTTATAGCTTGCAGTCTTCCCAACTCTGGGGTAATTATTGTTAAGTAATTAGTTTAACTTGTATTTCTGTGGAAAATCTAAACGAAACAGTGATCAGCTTGTGTGCATTATTAAGTACTACTTCATACTTGCACTTAGGATATAAAGTCATGAATAAGCAATTGTGCTTTCAAGTAAATAACATATCTTAGATCATCGTTACGTATTCTTGGATATAACTGATAAAATATTTTTATAGTTCAAACTATAGATATTTGCCTATCAAAATCAGTGCTCCATTAGCTGCAATTAAAATAGATGATCTAGAGAAAAGAAGGTCCAATCTCTTTTTTGTAATCACAGACTTCCTAGAATTGTCAAGCAAAATTAAGTGGTAGTAATGAAATGTCCACAAACTAACTGAATTATTTTTTGAAAACCTTCCAAGTTCAGTGAATAAATACTGACGTGCCAAGAAAATTATCTTATTGAACAACTGAGTGATCACTTTACAGCAATTTTAAATTTTTAAAATTTTTTATTTGTTTAAATCAGTCATATATCTCTGAATAATTATATATTTCACTTCTTGGAGATTATAAACTTGACTAAATGCTAGCCAACATTGTTTTTACATGAAAAAGTTCCGTACTTAGCAAAACGCCAACATATTCGACTACAAATTTCTTGATCCTTTTCTTGGGAGGCGCATAAATTATTACATTCTTCTTTATAATTTTGAACGCAAAATAAACAGTAGCTTAGGTTTGCACCTAGTGATGTTGTCATTGTTGAACACTGAGCAATTTGAAAGCGGAAAATTTCCAAGTCTTTTTGTGAATAAGCAATTTGTATAACTCCCAAGTTGATTATTACAAAGAAGAGATGATTTTTTGAGAAAAAGTAGTATTCAGGTCTGAAAAAAATTAAAAAATATATGTTCGAACAATTGTTTATCTTTGTGTAAGCATCAAAAATTGTATTGAAGGGCTTGCGTCACAACTTACCATTTTGCTAGATACAAGGAAGTTACATTTTGTAAAAACAGGGGAAACGAAACCACTATCAGCAATATGTAAGAAAATTTTCGTACACATGTTGATACATCTGTTATTGTTGTTTTCCATCCACACATATTACTTATTAAAGATTAGCCTGACGCTTATAGTGTAAATCAGGATGTCTGATTTAATCTTTGTTATGTAATTACAGTACGGGATTTTAGATGAGGCCGCTTAGTGAACAAGATGAACTTATTGAATACTTTTCAAAACTACAATAGGATGGCTGAGAAATAACTTAGAATGGATTGTTTACCAGTCAACAAAAACAAATCCTATCCAGGAACTGGAGAAACAAATCAACAAAACTCTTTAATCGAAACAAGAAATCTACCCAAAATAAGAATAATAGGGAATAATATGATATAAATCATTCAAAGTTTCATTCAAACTTAATAACATCGTAGTAATTGACTATGATAGCATTCAAATCATGAATACTTTATATTGATTAACTGCTAGATGTAGCGAGTTGAATTTGGAATTCTTTCTATACTGTGTATGGAATGGTCATAACGGAAAAGTGATAATTTATTTGAAGTATTTCATAAAAGTTAGCAGTCGTACTTTGAATAGTCACCCTGATGATTTTCTGTAAGTGGAAATTTCACTAATACAATGTAGTAATAAGTATTTGTCTGAAATACAGTTTGCTACTTAGGAAAGGTATATAATTATCGAGTTACTTAAATCCCTATTGGAAAATTATCTATAAGTTCATTGTATGTAGGAAGTTAGACCTATGTGTGATTAATACGATTAAATAACAATAAAGTAACAATAAATATAAACTTGTGCCTTGAGTGACTTAAGGTAATATCGAAGTAATCCACATAGGATGTACATATGCCAATAAGAGACTGATCAATTGCAGTCCTAAACATCAATGGGAAGATTCAATCAACCAATACAAAAATAACATAAACTTCACCACATTGCACAAGCTGGTTTCTATCCGGACTCAGTAGCTAAGGGAATAACGTGATGGCATTTGAAGCAACCGGTACTGGGTTCGAGTTCAGGAGTGTACATCAACTCTGGGATGCAGGTACATCCAGCTGAAGAGCCCCGAATAGGATGAAAAGTGTGTACTGGATCCCACTTCTAAACATCACCCATCTCTGCTTATAAACGTTTAAGCTGGTATCATTTATTGTAAGAGTAATTTCCGTTATGGCTGTACAGTTTAAATGGATATGCCAATGTGTTGTAGCGTCGGTTGCTATGCTAAGCTCACATAGCTTATTCTAGCTTCCGCACAGGCCAATTTATTCATTCTTCTTAAGTCATTTTTTGACCTTGTCAATTATTCGCTTCGTTTCTCTGATTGTCTGTCTGAATAAATGGTTGTGTGAAATATACGTATACGAAATTCACTCTCGTATTTGATTTATTTAATTCCGTTATTCACCTATGCGAGTTAAGTCCATAATAATATACGAGGATTAACGACATGCATATTTCAAATAACAATCAGAAACGATCGAATTGGAGTCAGATCTCGAGCCACAAAAGTGTAAATGGGATAAATCAATAATATTTTTCAAAACCCAGTTGTGATAGCAAATGAAGTGGAACGTGTAGTATTTCAATTCATGATGAAATATGTTGAGTTTATTACTATTATTCACTTATGTTTCCAAAAGTCACGGGTAAATTTTTGTTGGTAAATATTTTCAGTTAAAAATTTAAGGGTAATATATTCAGTCATCTGATTACTGATCGTTTGGGAATTTTATGGAAACTAGTGAGAACATGGATACATGGGTTTTAAGAAATCCATCAATAAGTAATCATCATATATAGGCTTTGTTTATCAAATAATTTAACATATGTGAATTTTTCCAGATGCTTATATTCATCTTACAACATTTTCGTGTTGTTATCAAAGTTGTGGGAAATATTAAATGTCACTAAATTTTACTAGAAAACACTAAAACAAGAAAAATATATGGTGAACAGTGATTTCTGTTGTTTAGTAAGAGTGCTGCAGATTTTCAGCTGATTTTATTGCTCAGTAATCCAGCTTGTTTTTAAAGTCAAACTTTTATAAAAGATTGTTCCATTACGTTGAACTCGTTGAAGTGATTGAGTTTATGCATTTGAGGGTTTAGTACCTTGAATGACTCAGTTAGCATCTCAGTTATCCAGTAAACTTCAGTGATAAACCTTTCTAATATTAGTGCTTAACCCATTCCATGTGAATGTATGAGTTTCAAGATAGATCCCATATAGAAAACGATGTTATTTAGATATGTGCTTTAGCATTTAATAAAGTGATCTACACGTAGTAATTTAAAGAAGAATTATTTTCTTGGAGTTACAGTTTATAAACATAAAGCCTTCAAGTTTACTTTAACAATAGGTAACTGTATGTAAAATGGTAAGACATGTAGCGAAAAATATCGTTCTACCTGTTACCACTCACCGTTGGCGTTAAGACAGAAATAGAACATCTCGAGATTGAAGTTTGAGGATTTGGATCGTTAAGATATCAGGCAGTCTTTAACTTTAATCTTCAATCATAGGCAGAGTCGTTTTAAACATAGTTCACTGATTTGTTAGGCCGGATAAAATATTTTATTTCAACTGTTATGCTACTCGAGTGTCATTTAACAAGCTTAAATGCAGAACAATAGTTACTGTTATAAAAGAATTTTAATTAAATACTTCTGAATGTTAGCGACTGAGTTATCGAGATTAATAATTTTGAGCCAAAATTGATAAATAGTATACGTATAGACCCGTTAGAAGTTAGAACATGGAGAACAATACAATGAAAAGTGTTTCAGTTATGATTTATGTTTCCTTATTGAAAATGAGTGAGAAAACGTTCCTACATAACATTTATCAAAAATTTGTTTACGAGTTAAAATCTAATTATAGTGTTATTATTTATTACATTCACCTGGAGTTAATAATTTTCCATTGAATCCGTAAATCCATGAGTATCGTTTGAAAAGTTAATGGAAACGTTAATCCTACAGTACTAATTTAACTATTTTTATGGTCTCAAAGTGAAACCGTTCAGCTCTGTTTTTCAAGCCGGACATAAAATGAATTAACATATGTATCTTATTAGGAAATTTTCAGACTATGAATTGTTGTACAGAAAAGTGAATTGACTCTAGATGTGTTTTGTTATAAAATCCAATGAATATTAATCATCAATATGGATTTAAAATGTAAAGTTTTTGTATTTTGAGAATCATCTTTTCACTTATGTAAACTGGTTCATGATAAATACTTGAGAGCTTCACACTGTAATAACACATAATATTGAATAAAATAGTTATTATTATCGCTTTTATAAATGGATTTATTTGGAATCACTTAAACTTCGAAAAATATTAACCATTTAATTTCCATTTGAACATAAATCAAACAACATGGATATTCTGAAAATTATAGGGTCACTGAAAATAAATACGAGTTAAAACCAATAAATATATAAGGGTAAGTAGTTTTAAGTCTTCGTTTAATATAAACGTCTTAGTAACAATACCGAAATGCCCTATAACGTTACATGGTTTAGTTTATTTATTTATTTGAGTTCCAAGTTTACATTTTAAATTCATTGGTCATTAAAGCATAAAGATTTCACAGAAATACAAACAATTCTTTGGTCATTTCTTCGTATTCTCAAATAGTTATTATACTGTAAAATGTTCTATTGAGATGTTCGGAATGTTCTTTTGAGATTTCTACTGATAGGTTGGTATTGCGTTTGTACAAACGAAATCCTACTAATACATAATTAACTTTAGTTCAGTCTTCAAATAAAACAAACGAAGCAATCAAAACTATATACGATGTTTACAGGCTGACTTCTTCATTTTAGTAAAAAATTAACGATGAATTAATAAACAGGATTGAAAGCAAACTGACTTTCATACTGTGTCATAAATGGACTATATAATGATTGAATGTTTTGTTGAATGAATCCACGCTTTTGCAAATTGTGAAACAAATAAATCTATCGTATGAATGACGTTTTGAAAACTGAATATAAAATTTTCCACTTATTATTGAAATTTTTTTAAAATCCAGACCTACTATTTTCCAAGATGTTTGGATAATGCCCTTTTGTTAAAAAAAAACAGACAGTATCTAAATCAAGCCTCAAAATCTATGTGATAATTTATACCAGATTACTAAAGTCAGTTATGATAACTATTTATCACATAGAGAAATGACACATTAGAATAAATAAAAATATAGAATGGATGAAAATCACAAACCCTATATTGTTAAATTTCAAATGAGTATTATCACGCCGAGTACAGATGGACGACGCCTTAATTTCAAAAACAGAGGACAGAGATTTAACCATAAGGTGTTTCTACGGATTATGTTTAAATTAAGAAAACATTTTTAAGCGATTAATATGACTATAACAAAGCAGGAATAGGCTATTTTTTTGGCATATTTCAGTCATCTCGCATCATTTACTTAACAATATTATTAGGTTTCAAGTAGTGTTACACAATCAAGTATTATGTTTCTATTGGTGTAAAAGTGTACATTCTTTATTTCTGATATGTATACAAATCGAAATGAAGTGGAAAAAGTGAAGACTCTAGAGTGTTCACATGAGGATAATTTACAGAGATCAGAGGGCTGTAAATTATCTTGACTGAAAAAACTTGAACAATATCAAAACACTATTACTGATCGTACTAGGTTCATGAAAACCAGCATGTAAGGGAATCGGAAGCCGATATCAAGTTCGAACACTAATGAGCTAAAATTTGATTCCGACCAAAAAGTAAGTTATAAGACTAAAAATTAAACCAAGTCAGAAAATAAGATGCTTTATATTTTATTAAAAATCATAGATTATAACTTAAACTTA